ATAAAAAATATGAATAAAAGTCCATACAGTTCTTAAATAGACGAAGATGACCAGTAATGTCAATCCGATAAATATGGACCACCCATACAAAGTAGGAAGTGTAAAAGATCATGAATCATCCAGTGGACTCATTCTTGTGGAAAGGATGATAGATCCCATTACCCAGAAGAGCACTCTAAGCCTCTCACCTTATAAAGATGACCCCTGAACTAACAGGTAGGTCATATAGCGCTTTCCCATAAGGGTAACAGACTTCCACAATCACCGATAGCGGATCGTCCGATAAGTAGTATGACCAGATGGGAGCAAATAACAGAACAAATTGTGCTCTCTGCTATATATATCAAAATTTTAATAAAACAAACTCACTCACAATCATAGCACTTGCATCCAGTTTGCAAGGATCAGTGCCCATGTATAATCAACGTCCACAATATAGCAACGAGATGGCTGCAGGTGACGTCAGTGGGCGTGACTCCTCCTCCCTGGATGCAAGTGCTATTATTGTGAGTGAGTTTCTGTTTTATCAAAATTTTGACAAATCTATCATATTGACATCTTTCTGTGCCGAAGCTTTCAAGGAATTAGTTAAACACAGGGATAGGTCTATAAATGTAGCAGGGAAGTATGTCGAAAAAAAAATGCAGGTTCCACTCCTTGGAACAAGAGAACACACACATGATGATGAATGATGATGATGATGCATGATGAATTAAATATAGAATAAATTCATAAGGCATACAAAATTATCATAAGTTAGAAGATGACCAAGATTCTTATACATTGGATGTTAACAGCACTGATAGTACTACTTATGGTTTCAAAAATGCTGCTACTAATAGTGGTAAAAATGACAATGACGATGGTAAACAATAATATTATTAATAGATACAGGTAAAAATTATGATATTGACAATAATCATAATATGGCTATTCTGACTACAGTGTAAAATCCATATTGTGAACGGGTGAGGTGAAAAAATTCACCATCAGGACATTGACCCAACATAGATTCAGTATACAATAGTATTCTATGCCCAGACAGAAGATAGAAGACTAATTGTATAAAATAAAATGAAAGAAAATAAAGCACAAGTTGTATCTGTATGTGTGTACTCAATGTTGTCCTGGTAAAAGAATGTGACAAATCACATAGGCTAACCAATCTGGAAGTGAGTGTATATGTATGTATGTGTGTGTATATGTGTATGTGTATATATATATATATATATATATATATATATATATATACACAGTATATTTGAAACAAGTGGTGCGAAGTGGAGAATGGTGCCAAAATAGGGCTCATAGACTCTAAACCATTAGTAATTCAATGTGCCATGAGGACAATATCTATAAAGCAGTGGTTCTCAACCTTTCTAATGTCGCGACCCCTTAATACAGTTCCTCATGTTGTGGTGACCCCCAACCATAAAATTATTTTCGTTGCTACTTCATAACTGTAATTTTGCAGTGGGAGGACTAGCGCCCCATCACTGATGTCAGTGGGAGGAATAGCGCCCCATCGTTGGTGTCAGTGGGAGGAATAGTGTCCCATCATTGGTGTCAGTGGGAGGAATAGTGTCCCATCATTGGTGTCAGTGGGAGGAATAGTGTCCCATCATTGGTGTCAGTGGGGGGAATAGTGTCCCATCATTGATATCAGTGGGGGGAATAGTGCCCCATCATTGGTATCAGTGGGGGGAATAGTGCCCCATCATTGGTATCAGTGGAAGGAATAGTGCCCCATCATTGGTATCAGTGGGAGGAATAATGCCCCATCATTGGTATCAGTGGGAGGAATAGTGCCCCATCATTGGTATCAGTGGGAGGAATAGTGCCCCATCATTGGTATCAGTGGGAGGAATAGTGCCCCATCATTGGTATCAGTGGGAGGAATAGTGCCCCATCATTGGCATCAGTGGGAGGAATAGTGCCCCATCATTGGTATCAGTGGGAGGAATAGTGCCCCATCATTGGTGTCAGTGGGAGGAAAAGTGCCCCATCATTAGTATCAGTGGGAGGAATAGTGCCCCATCATTGGTATCAGTGGGAGGAATAGTGCCCCATCATTGGTATCAGTGGGAGGAATAGTGCCCCATCATTGGTATCAGTGGGAGGAATAGTGCCCCATCATTGGTATCAGTGGGGGGAATAGTGCCCCATCATTGGCATCACTGGGAGGAATAGTGTCCCATCATTGGCATCAGTGGGAGGAATAGTGTCCCATCAGTGGGAGGAATAGTGCCCCATCATTGGCATCAGTGGAAGGAATAGTGCCCCATCATTGGTATCAGTGGGAGGAATAGTGCCCCATCATTGGTATCAGTGGGAGGAATAGTGTCCCATCATTGGTATCAGTGGGGGGAATAGTGCCCCATCATTGGCATCAGTGGGAGGAATAGTGCCCCATCATTGGCATCAGTGGAAGGAATAGTGCCCCATCATTGGTGTCAGTGGGAGGAATAGTGCCCCATCATTGGTATCAGTGGGAGGAATAGTGCCCCATCATTGGTTTCAGTGGGAGGAATAGTGCCCCATCATTGGTGTCAGTGGGAGGAATTGTGTACAATCATTGGCGTCAGTGGGAGGATAGTGCCCAATCATTGGTGTCAGTGGGAGGAATTGTGTACAATCATTGGCGTCAGTGAGAGGAATAGTGCCCAATCATTGGCGTCAGCGGGAGGAATAGTGCCCCATCATTGGCATCAGTGGGAGGAATAGTGCTCCATCATTGGTGTCAGTGGGGAGGAATAGTGCCCCATCATTGGTGTCAGTGGGGAGGAATAGTGCCCCATCATTGGCATCAGTGGAAGGAATAGTGCCCCATCATTGGTGTCAGTGGGAGGAATAGTGCCCCATCATTGGTATCAGTGGGAGGAGGATAGTGCTCCATCATTGGTTTCAGTGGGAGGAATAGTGCCCCATCATTGGTGTCAGTGGGAGGAATTGTGTACAATCATTGGCGTCAGTGGGAGGAATAGTGCCCCATCATTGGCGTCAGTGGGAGGAATAGTGTACAATCATTGGCATCAGTGGGAGGAATAGTGCCCCATCATTGGTGTCAGTGGGAGGAATAGTGCCCCATTGTGGGTGTCAGTGGGAGGAATAGTGCCCCATTGTGGGTGCCAGGGGGAGGAATAGTGCCCCATCGTGGGTGTCATTGGGAGGAATAGTGCCCCCTCGTTGGTGTCAGTGGGAGGAATAGTGCCCCATCGTTGGTGTCAGTGGGGGGAGGAATAGTGCCCCATCGTTGGTGTCAGTGGGGGGAGGAATAGTGCCCCATCGTTGGTGTCAGTGGGAGGAGGAATAGTGCCCCATCGTTGGTGTCAGTGGGAGGAATAGTGCCCCATCGTTGGTGTCAGTGGGGGGAGGAATAGTGCCCCATCGTTGGTGTCAGTGGGGGGAGGAATAGTGCCCCATCGTTGGTGTCAGTGGGGGGAGGAATAGTGCCCCATCGTTGGTGTCAGTGGGGGGAGGAATAGTGCCCCATCGTTGGTGTCAGTGGGGGGAGGAATAGTGCCCCATCGTTGGTGTCAGTGGGGGGAGGAATAGTGCCCCATCGTTGGTGTCAGTGGGGGGAGGAATAGTGCCCCATGTTGGTGTCAGTGGGGGGAGGAATAGTGCCCCATCGTTGGTGTCAGTGAGGGGAGGAATAGTGCCCCATCGTTGGTGTCAGTGGGGGGAGGAATAGTGCCTCATCCTTGGTGTCAGTGGGGGGAGGAATAGTGCCCCATCGTTGGTATTAGTGACACAAATGATGGGGCACTATCCCTCCCACTGACACCAATGATACTTACCTTGCTGACTCCTGCTCCAGCCTGGGCTCGCTCTCTCCCTCTCCCATCTACAGCCAGCATACCTGGCTGCAGCAGCAAAATTTGCACTTACCTGTCAGCTGTCTTCCTTCTCTGGCCTCTCTCTTCACTCGCTCCTGCAGCTCCCTCGATCTTCTTTGATCTCCGCGCGCTGCCGCTCGGCTCCTCCTCTCCAAGCTCCACCTCCTCGCCGGTGATTGGCCGCCTGTGTGCCTCTCCTGAGCTACAGTTCCGGTGGCCAATCAGCGGCGAGGAGGCGGTGACAGGGGCAGCATATCCCGCCCACACATCGCCGGAGACAGGAGCGGTGTCTCGGTTCCTAAGACCATCGGAAATATGTGTTTTCCGATGGTCTTAGGCGACCCCTGGGAAATGATCGTTCGACCCCCAAAGGGGTCGCGACCCCCAGGTTGAGAACCGCTGCTATAAAGTAACCCTATTTTTTTGCCCTGGTCTCTTTTTGGTGGTTAATTTTTTGCTTAAAGCGGAACTCCACTGCATCTGAGCACCACAAACAAAAAACACAATTTAACTCCTCTTATTAATCAAAGCAAACTCCCCCATCCATCCATATCTCCATGCTATATTTTGCTGAGAAATTGCTTTGAAAGCTAGCATTTCTGGCCATGGCCATCTTGAGCAAGGGCAGAGGATTAATTTAGCATTTACTTCCTGAACTCGATCTGCCTTTAACTCAGGCATGAAGACAGGAAGGTGTGCTTAGTGGAGAAACCCCTCTTCCCCTCCTAAAGACTGCTGGGATGTATGACATCATTTGCCTAGGCCTGGAAACCAGGAAGTAACTGAAGAAATGTAAGAAAAAAAGATTATTAATGCTAGCAGCATAAGGATTAATAATGGTCCATGTTGATTGAGAGAGTGAAGTTCTGTTTTATAATGTAAAGACATACTTGGTTACTCAAAACCACACCATATTTGAAGAGCTGGTGAACTCCTCATTAGCTTGATGATCCCTCTTGTTTCTATGGGTTTTTAGGTTATTTTACGGTCAAAAATCCTTTTCTTTTTTTTTTTTCTTTTTTTTTTTTTTTACAATAGTTACTATAATTGGACACAAATACAATATCTCCAGTGTTTTGTTTAAACTGTGCTTGAAACATAAACATGATAACATTACATAGTGTTTGTGAATTCAATGTTATCTTGATCTGTTTTTATTAGGTATTGTCCGCACTGCAAAGAACATCAGCAAGCAACCAAAAAATTAGATCTGTGGTCATTGCCTCCAGTTTTAGTGGTGCATTTGAAACGCTTCTCTTATAGCAGATATATGAGGGATAAGTTGGATACACTTGTTGATTTTCCTGTAAGGTATGTAAACAATAAATGTTTTTTTTTTTTTATCACTATACCAGGAGTACTTAATTAAAATTCACAGGTCCGGTCAGTAAAATTTTCTTCAAACGAAGGTCCGAGTGTCATGTTGTTGCTATGACTCAGATCTTTCACATCACAGCCTCCTGTGCACATCACCGTCCCCCCACCACTACCACCACCTTTAAGGCCCAAACATCCTGTCCCTTATGGTGAAATGCAGGGTTCTACTGTGTGGGCACCTGTTAGTATAAGGTCCAGAAACCTTACCTTTTATTGGTTTATGTGAAAGTTATAGCGTTTTACAAAAGGCGGTATATATACTGGGATTTTTTTTTTCTTTTTTAAACTAGTAATGGCGGCGATCAGCAATTTATTGTGGGACGGCGCGGACATTCTGACACTGGGGGAACTGACTTGGTGTCACTGACATCCCCGGTGACGTCAGTACAGTGATCAGTGCTAATAAAAAGCACTGACACTGTACTAATGGCACGGGGCAGGAAAGGGTTAACATGAGGGGCGATCAAAGGGTTAACTGTGTGATGTTTTACTGTGTGCTGTGTTAGTGCTTTAAACTGAAAGCACACTGCTTTGTATGGCTGTGCTATGCAGAGCCATACAAAGCAGTGTGCAGGAGCCAACAGGGGAGAGAACTGTATTGTTTACATACAGTTCTCTCCCTCCATCGGTAATGCTCGGTGATCGAGTACCGGCGTGTAATCACCAGCCGTGACCTGGTGATTGACAGCCGAGGCTGCAAATAGAGACCCGGGTGGGGCACGCCCGCTATCCGGAAATGCAAAATCACATATATATACATATTTTGCGTACCCCTGCCGCCCTGTAGCAGTATATCTGCTATAGGGAGGTGTAAAATTGGTTAAGCCAGCCATACATAGCTCGCAAGTTGGCCAGTTCAGCCGGGGACCAACCTAATTTTGATCCATGTATGGGCAGTGTTTTTGTACTGAAGTCAATCTAATGACTTCTGTATAACCACCCTATCATATTTTCCCCACTTTATCAGTGTCACAGGCTATAGCCTGCATCGCTGATCATTGTATTCTGATGGTGGGAAAATCTTCCTGCTGTCAAAATACAGTAGCTCAGAGGGAGGATTCACCCATGTACACAACCGAAAGGAAAAAATACTGAATCATCTATGGGCTGCCTAACTCTAGTTACTATAGGTAAGAGTTTACAGCCAAATCAGCTTGTGAAGAAAATCAAATGGGTCATTATACAAAAGATATAGTTGAAATGTCAACAAGTAAAATTGTTTGGTTTGCCACTGTACTATTTCTCTCTGGTGACAATTCCTGTCAGTTTGTTCTCGGTTTATACAAATATTCAAGTTTTAATTGTTGGTGCCAATTTGGTGCGATCGCTTCTCCTGTGCATTGTGCATAATATACAGTAAATGAGCAATCCAACAAAAAGTGTGAATCTTGAAATTCAAGCTCAGAAGATCTTGCTGACAGCTTTCAAGTAATAATACTGTTTAAGTGTCCACCAAAAACTCAAATATTATATTTGGGTGGCCTGACCTTTAAAGGAGTTCTTTGGTCATAGCATACACTTTCATTTTTTAACATCTGCATTTTAATAATTATTTTTGACTATCCAATATAAGCTTAATTAAAAAAATCTCCTTTCCTGTTGTAAGTGCGCCCTGTCGGTTAGCCACCTATTTCTACAACTTCCTGGATTTTTGTATCTTTTCCACTGCTGTTTACTTTACATTTCTAATAACTAAACATCCAATGGTACTTTACTGCCATATATTTAACCTCTGCACGCTGACGGTACGCAAATATGCAGCCTCTCGGTGGCTGGGCCTTTACACCGAGCGGCCGCATATTTGCGTACCATTTGTAAACAAATGTGGTGAGAGTGCGCGCCATGCTTGCTCCCAGCACATGTGTCAGTGTCCCACGGAAAGGTTCCCAATCTCTCCATGCGATCGGACCTTTCCAGTCATGTGGCAGCCAATCACGGTGCTCACATGACCCTAAACCCTGCCCCGCCTCCCGCCTTCAGAAACCCCTTAAAGGGCTGGGAGGCGACAGCGTAACAGGGTTAAAGTGAATATATGATTTACATTTTGACCATATATATGCTTTAAATGTGAATCTTTTTATGTATATACAAATTGTTACATCTGAATGTATGAAACGTTGCATGTTAAAAAAAAAAAAAAAAAAAAAATTTGATCAAAGCTGTGGAAACTGCAGTTCAGCGTTTATACATGCAAAATAGGAAGAAAGAGACTAATGGGGAGATACAGTGTTAAAGAATGATACAGAGGAAAAAGATTTGAGGGAGAGACTGTGTGTTCCTAATATGTACAGTCTGGAGGACATAACTAAAATCTTTTCATACCTTAAAGGTATGGAGAGCAGTATTTTCAATATGAAACTAAGATCATGAACACAGAGACATGGCCCCAGTAGGCGAAAAGTTCAAAACTAAACCTTAGAAAGCATTATTTTACCAAGAGAGTAGTTGGTGCTTGGAACAGACTGCATGTAAATTTCACAAGCCGACTGTCGACTTTCATATGTGATGGCTCGCTGTACAACTATAAACTGTAAACATATGGCCTGCAAGAGCTTTGAGAACATTGCCTATGGACAATTGTCACCAGAAAATTTACATTGGGCAACATTAGTTTCAACACTTTGGGGTTTATTGTTAAGAAAGGTGTACTGCCCATAATGACATGTCAAATTTCATCTGTTCTCCCAGAAACAAGGTAAAATTGTAGGTGAAACCAAAAATTGTATGGCCAGAGAAAGGTGGACAGCTACAGGAGTGAATGTCAAACCGAGGGATCAGCAACCTCGGACATAGTCTACTGTACAGGTTACTTTCCCCTAGAAAACCTTTTGCCTTCTATGCATGCAGTTATTCAGCATTATATAGTATTTTATTATTCTATATATTTTTCACATTTATTATATTTTTTTTTTTCTCAACAGCGATTTGGACATGTCTAAATTCCTTATTAATCCAAATGCAGGACCTTGTCGTTACAATTTGATTGCTGTATCAAACCATTATGGCGGAATGGGAGGTGGACATTGTAAGTTGCAGATTTTTGTTTTTATTACAGTCCTAATTCTTCTGTTTTAGTGTGGTGCATTTTAGACCTGTTTTACAAACATTACCAATTATATCTATTGAATACGTAAAAGGCAAAATTTTCTTAAAGCAATGAAGCATAGCTTAGCAAATAGGGTGCCTTCAGGTTTCTTCAGGGTGCCTTGACAAAATGCCTGCAAATTGCCCAAAAATGATATACAAGCCAGATGGTGGATCGAGCCAGCATTTTAGTTACACAAAGTCACAGGTTTTCTTTGTTAACCATTACAACCTTCTAGCCATTGGCGTACTAACAACCAATGATGAGGAGGACTCCATGCCCCTGCACCCCTTCTTTGTTTGCCCCTTTCCATCAGCACTGGGGGTCACATTAGCTGAGTGTGGGAGAGAAACTGAGAGAGAAGAGAAAACATTGGAATACTAGTCTGTACCAGTGAGGAAAGGTGTATTTGCTTTGAAACAATTACCTCCAGTGTTGGGTGTCCTACCTGTGTGGATATTGCTACCCTATGTAAAACTATTAGTTTAGTTTTTTACATTTTAGAATGAGGTGCCTCGAGGTGCATCATTTTAAAGGGTGCCTTTATTGAAAAAAAGGTTGAGAAACACTGGCCATACAGTGTGTACAGAAAGAAATGAATAACTTAATGTAATCTAACACATTCATTCTCACAGTCACTCACACCCTGGGGATATTGGAGAAAAGGGAGTTGTGTTAATATTAAAGTGCTAAAAATGCTAAAGCCAAAACTTGGTTTTGTTTCTCATCCATTAGGGGACACAGGAAGTGTGTAACCTTTGGGTTCTTCATGTATGCCTCCTTTTTTGCTAGTGTCATTAGCGGATGGACATCTTTTCCTTGGCCTTTTTTGCTAGCACTTTCATAGATATCCTGTGCAGTCTTACTCAGCCTGGCTTATCAAGTACCTCATCCGGATCCCACTTGACTGGTTGTTGCCTGGATAGCTTGGAAGTGACCTTAAGACACTGGGTCCCATAAACGGCACTTTCCAGACTCTTTTCTAGTGAAAGTTAGTTCAAGTGCACGTTCTAGGTTCAGAATTGCTGGGATTGCCTCAGCACTTGCCCTTTCTCTAAAGACTTACTTACTGAATCTATCGGCCGGGCTGAGCATTAGGAGCTACCTCATTTGCATCGCATTTGCTTTTACTCCTCATTTCCACCATTTTTTGCCACAGAAGGGGTTAACACTGGGCTTGAGCGCCGGAGTTATCCACTGGGTGGAGTGTCATGCTCTCCACAATCTATTTCCCACCATACAGCAAGGTGGAAGCATCTCCATGCTGCTGCTCTTGCTTGCAGAGAGACAAAGGAGTTTCCATCTGTTCCTGCTGCTGCCTGCCTACAGTGACTTTAGTCACTTCATTCATTCAACCCTCAGCTGCAACCAGCTGTCCAATTTTGTAAATAACGTTATCCTATATGTTGCCTTACGGTCATGAGTCTGACTTTAGGCTTGAGGGGGACAGTCCTACTCTACCAGGTACCCCCAGCTTACTTGCTACTGATGGCTCCAGGGCAGCTTGAAGCACACAAACTGATTGTGCTGACATCTTCAGCCTCGAATCATGTTACCTTCTGCTTTTGGAGTCTTATCCATCCCCAGTCTCCTTCTTGTCAAACCATGTCTGATTGGTCAAATTCCCTTAATCATTTAAAAGAGATCTAACAACTGCTGCGGTTGATCCCTTTCTGAACACAGAACAAATGGCTGTAACTTCAGTTGTGACAGTTTGCTGGAAGCCTCTTGTCCCATTTACTGCATGCTTTCTCCTGTTGGTACATTTGCATAGGGTACTTTGACTAAAGTGCTACACTCCAGACCAATAGGAACAACATCTCTTTAGACCAGCTCTTGATGTATTTTAGGGGACAAGGGACAGGGTAGTGTTGAGACCTTGTACTTCCTTCTTGCCCAAGGTATTCTCTGACTTTCACCTTACCAGAACATATTTTCTCCATCCCTCTGTTTGGCAACATTTAACCAAAAGGAAATTTCCCTCTATTGTCTAAATGTGCTTCAGGCTATTAGGATCTATCTCTCAGTCACTGCTTCTTTCACAAAGACCGAGGCCCCTTTTACCGGATGGACCCCAAAAGAGTACATGGTTTTCATTTTCCACCATCTCTAGGCAGACCATCATTCAAGCCCATGGTCTCAAGGATTGTATTCCCCCCTTTCCTGACAAGGTTAACTCTGCTAGATCCATGAATGCTGCTTTGGCTTTCAGCCACAGGCAGTCGTCTCTCATAAATGCAAGGCTGTCGCCTAGTCTTCTATTCACACATTCTACCAGCTGGATATTTTGGCCTCATCTGTTGGCAGCTTCAGGTGTAAGGTCCTTTAGGCAGTTCTTTTAGCTGCAGGCAGTACACTAATACATGGTCTCCTAGTTTTTTTTTCTACCTGGGGCTGTTATAGTTGGGTTACTGTGTTGTTTACCCCTTAGTTAGATTGCTTTTGATATCCCAAAGGTTAGACTTGTGTCCCAAGATGAACAAGAAAGAAAATAGGATTTTTGTACTCTCCTTAAAATCCTTTCCTGCAAGCCCAAGCCCCACTGCTTTGTGTTTATGATCATATTCTCAGTACTGGTTTTCTACAGAATCAGAGCATGCTGGGAGTGGGAGGGGGAATTCTGCACTGTCCTATAGTTTTTGGGGTTTTTTTGCCAGTGTCTAATCCTCCTGTAGTCAGCATTAAAAGCCCAAGGTTCTTCATGTGTCCCTCAATGAATTCCAGCAAATATATTTTACAGTAAGTACAAAAATACACTTTTTTGTTTTTGATTAGAGTAGCATAAGATAAAAACCCTTTTCAGGGCTTTATTGCTGTATGTGTCCCCACTGGGGTAATTACCCCTCACTTTTTCATGGTGACCACTGTCATTGACAGAAAGAGGGGCAGCATTTCATATGGGGAGCACTTGTTCTGGTGACAACTATCTAAGATGGAATTTTCCTCTTTTTGGCGAAAATCCAATTCACTTTCTGTTGTGTATCCAAAATGGGACACATAGCAAGAAAGGACCTGATGATTTTTTTTTTTTTTTAATAATTTGTTATTGTATTAACAGTAAGTACAGAGCCATTAAGACATAAATGTATGCATGTGTGGCTTCACAGGTAAAGCCGATATCCTCTAATTGATTCAAGATGTTCATAATAGTCTGATAAGAGAGCAGTATATAATCCAGAGGCTCTCTTATACTTTTAACATAGAATTGTAGAAAATAGACACTGAAAGTAGAGAATAGGATGGGGAAAGAGGTAGAAAAGAGAAGAAGGGAGTAAGAGGTAGGGAGCAGCACTATAAGAGCTGTGAAGGTACTATCTTGATAGCAAATGAGGAGAGACCCATTACCCATTCCATGCTATATCCATACTGATTAAAACGTTTTGACTTTAGATGCATTTGAAAGATTACTGACAAAATGTAATCCAGTTAAGCCAGTAAGACCCCATGATTCCCAGAGTATTTTATTTGGGTAACATTTATGTAGAACATTTAAAATGTTTCCATATAAATGTTCCTGAAATCCATTGACAACAACATCCTTGTAATCCATAATACAATTTCAGTAATTACATTGCTTTTTGCTGTATGCATTGATTTGTGCTAGCCACAGACTAGACTGTGACCTATTCACGTTATTAATATTTTTTAAGCAGGTACCACAACAACATTTTATACTTTCCATTGTGTTCCATTGTGAAAGGATCACAGGGTCCTCACAAGTAAAGGAAACCAGCTAAGGCTAACATGAACTAAATGTTAGAGATATTTCAGAGTAAGAACATTTTTAAGCTGGCCATAGGCACCAGAGAATGGATTGGTGTGCATGCGCAATCTGTCCATCTCTGCAGGTGCACCTTCTAACAGAAGCTATCTGGCTGCACTAGGTGTTCCTGTGAGGCAATGAAGCAGGAAGACAAGGTACAGGGTGCAGACAGTCCCGACATCCAAGCTGAAAAATAGTAATCAAGAAAGGTCAGCTAACTTGTTTGATTGCCTAACTCCTGCAGAACTGTCATACGGGATTGCCTGAGAGTACTCAAACATTAGACATCTCCTTAATTCAAGTGACAACCAATTAGAAGATAGTTTAGATCAGGGTTTCTCAACCAGAGTTCCATCAGAGGTTGCCAGGGGTTCCTTGAGCAGTGAGCAATTTCTGCCTCTCAGATAAGTTCACACGGACACCATTTCTCTTTTTACCTACCTGTCAGGGGGTAATTCGTCCCAATGACCAAGGAGATATAAGGAGTATTACTCTCACTGACCATCACACTGATGTATCGTTAGTTGTAGGTCTAGTAATTGTTACAAGGGGTTCCCTGATACTGAAACATTTTATTGCTGTCTAGCAGATTTCAGCTTTACTACTTGCCCATTATGATCAGAAAATAGGATCTGGGTTTTTTTTTTTTTTATATTGTCCTTTTTATTTTTTAGACACAGCTTTTGCAAAAAATAAAGATGATGGAAAATGGTATTATTTTGATGACAGCAGTGTTTCAACTGCATCGGAAGACCAGATAGTGGTAAGTGTATGTGCAGTCCTCTAGTGATTGATGGTCTCTTTTAGCAGTAAATTGTTTGTAATTTATGCCACATCTAGCTTTCTTTTTTTTTTCTTTTTTTTTTGATGAAATGAGATCTGAGAATCACCAAAAGTACACAATTCCCAGTCCTCCTGAACCCCCCTCTTCCAAGCATCTCACCTTGAAAAGACAGCTGCAGTTTGTTTACAGCTGTGAGCTGCAATTCCCTCTAGCATTTGTTGTGCCTGTGTAGTGAGCAGTCCGAGACTAGTATAGAGAGCAACCTCTTAACATTTAAAGTCTCAGGAGCTGTAAACAAAGCTGCGTCTCAGAGATGTCCATGGCTGTCTTCCTGGACAGCTGAGTCAGAAGGTTATAGTAGAAAATGGCTAGGGGGGTGGTTTTGTGTACATTTTTGCGACAGCACATTTGTCTTTTTATTGTAAATGAATATATGAATCTAATGCTTGATATAACTTTTTATATTCAAATGGTGTCTGTGTCAAACACTAGTTAGCACAACATCTAAATTAGTATATAGGCATTTAGGGACCACTGTATCTAAATTAGTATATAGGCATTTAGGGACCACTGTAATGCTTTTACTATTCTGTTGACGTGTAGGTCTATTTGGGCTACTAGGTGGCCACTGTTTCTGGGGCCATTGTTTCTGTCTCTGTGCTGGCAGATTGTTGTCTTTGTCTGAGCAGCTAGTCAGTGCCTTTTTTTTTTTTGTAACAGACCTTTACTACACCATAATTCTTGTCCAGCCAGTACCTGTAGGAAAATCCAAATTCTTAGGTAGGTATTCCAGCAAGGGGGATAGAAGAAATACCTAAAGGTTAATTTATATTTTAGGTCTACAATGATAATTGCATATTCATGCTAATATTAGCTGGATTATGTAACTATATTTATGTGTGCGGATCTCCAGAAGATATACTGTACTGCTTTTATTTTTTATTCACCAATTAGTTTTCCTTGAAGTAAATGTGATGATGGGTTTGTATACAAAGTCCCTTTTCACTGACTGAGTAAGTCACTTGTAGGATCCTGCCTGTATACACAATGGTCACTGGAAAAAAACACAAACATTTTGTCTTTGGATCATGCTACCATATCCTTCTTCGGTTAAATTGTACATACCACCGTTAAAGCAGACCTGTGAGGATTTTAATTTGAAAAAACTGACCTGTTTACATTGGTTCTTCCTGGAGTACCAGGTAGTCAAGCACCTGGCTCTAACCAGCCATTGAAGCCACCTTCAGTAGTAAACACATAGGACTCAGGAGGGGCAAAGCTAAGTGCCAACGTCTTAGATAAAGTTGATACTTACATGTTGGCACTGTCTGGGTTTTGAGGCTTCAGGAATACTATGGTAGGTAAGATGCCTGCAGATACATAAACGATGCTTGCTGTGATGTGTAATGGACTTTACAGTTACATATACATGGTATTGATGGTACTGCAAATATCACCCAGGGCTTGTGACTCTTTACTGTGTTGAAATTTCCAAACTTTTTAATACCGCTTTAAGCCCTGGTTCACAGTGGTGTGACTTCAGGTGCAACATGCGGTTTATAAATCGCACCTGAAATCACATCTAGTGTTTTTCTATGGCACTGTCTTAATCATTGCAATGTGAAGTAGCACAATTTTAAAAATAGTTTCTGCACTACTTTATTCTAATTTCATTGCAACTTGCATTGACTTCTGTTAAATGAAGTCACAAGCCGCAGTGAAAACAGAGGTAAAAATCTCACTCTAGTGATGTAGCATGATGAATGAATGCAAAAGTCGCATTCAGTGTGTACCAGGGCTAAAAACTAGTAAGGAAGCATGTTGGTTTTGCTTTAGATTTAATAATTGTGGACATTTCACATAGTGGCTGTTTCTATCTGCCGTGGCTATTTGATGAATGTGGACTATTCAACTCGGCACTGGACAAGTGCCAGATAACAATGATATGAGATGGGACACTTAGAGGCAGGGGCGGACTGACCATTTAGAAACTCGGGCACTGCCCGAGGGCCCGGGGTCAGTAGGGGCCCCATGAGATGCCCCTGGTACCTTCTTCATAGGCTTTTTTCAGTTTGGGCAAGGACACAGGGGCCCCATGATCCCCTATTGCCCGGGGGCCCCATGAGTTGTCAGTCCACCCCTGCTCAGAGGTAAAGGGTTCATTCACCTTACAAAAAAAAACACAGCCTAAGCAGGTAAGGGGTGTCTGTAGATAAAAACAAACTGTGCAGCTTTGACTAAAGTTAAATTATGTCCTTGCTATAGATGTGGGTCATTTATGCACCTCTTGAAGCCTGGCAAAAAAAAAAACTCCTTGAGATGGCTTCATTCCATCCTGCCTTGTTACTACAACATTGCTAAGACACTCCCAGCCAATTCAAACCCATCACAATTGCAGTAGCTCTGAGCTCAACAATGCAGCAACAGAAGAGATAGTGGACCACACATGTGCAGGGGTTTGAGAGCTCACTTCTGTGATGTTGGGGATGAGTAGTAATAGCTTTCAGCATCTTAGCAGCACTGCAGCATGGATGATGCCATCTCTGGGAGTTTTTCAGCTCGGCTTCAGGAGGTACATGGCCTACACCTGTAATAAGGTCATTATCCAATATAAGTCAAAGTTGCACAGTTTGTTTTTATCTACATTGTCCAACATGTTTAGGAACTAGTACAACAGTCACAGTAGCAATAGAACCTTATAAATCATTTCACCCCAACCAGCACACAGGAACGCACCAGGAGTGGTGTAAACAGAAGCTGAATCCAAAAGTCCAGTTCAAAAAGCACTTGTGGGTACCCCTGTAAATTGCAGTTTCACAATAGTTAGGAGTAATAAAGCTGTAGTGCACCCAGGGGCAATCCATTATGCTCCCCAATCCGTAGATCCAATCCATCCTGCGGGGATCATCGGCATGCAGCCTATATGGGGTGACACCTGATCCGCTCCATGAAAAGGTAAGTTGTAAGGAAAGCCAACGATCCCCGCAGGATGGATCGGATCCATCCTTCGGGGATCGTCGGCTTTCTTTACAACTTACCTTTTCGTGGAGCGGGTCCAGTGTCACCCCGTGCGGTAGGTGTCACTTGGTGCAGTGCGCACACCCCGCACCTGCATCGGGACGCCACTGCTTGCACCACAATTATTCCTTTAAAAGCACATAGGGATTTTATTATAAAATTGTAATCTCCAAATTGTCATACATACGATGACTGTAATCTTATGTGATCAGAAATGACCGGTCTCAAACATCATCCAAAATAATCCAAAGGTAAATGGCTTACTTGTCCTAAAGTGACAGTGTCATGCCTGTGTTGTGGTGACCAGGAATCCGCAGTTGTGACATAGTATAGGATAGATCAAAATTGTTGTTAGATGTGACCGCTTATGTGTCCCCAAGCTATGGGAGAGCTATGATGCAGGAAGTGCAGGCACTGCGATCGCTCCAGGTTCCATTAGGACTTGAAGACTCAAAACAGCATACTTCTGGTCACCGGAAGTGATGCAGCAGATGTGACGTCATCGGGGCTGGAAACTACACCTTACTGGAACGCCAGCCTTGTTGCTGCAGATGTGAGATTAGACTGTTGTGTTTCGGGCATGGCCCTTTTTCAAATCATGTTTTTATCTACAGGCAGTTTTTTAGTAGGTGAACTAAACCCTTTATATGATTTTTTTTTTTTTAAACAGTAAAAATTTTTTTATAAAATATATTTTAAAGTACATTGTACCATAAAATGTCAAAAGTGGTACCACAAATCAATTACTGTACAAAAGCTCAATCTATATAAAAATGCATAATCTGCATAAACCTTACATAAATCACAAATCGGAGACAAAAAGGAGGAAACAAAGTGCTGGTATATATCATCACGGGTACATGAGAAAAAAAAGGAGGGGTGCGAGGGAGAAGGGAGGGGATCAAGCAAAATCCAATCATGCAGTCCCAATTTGATCATATTTGGCTGGGCAACCTCTACTCATACAAGTCAATTGGTAAAGGGTAGGTGCAGATCTAACAGCTGATCACCAATCAGTGTAAGAGAGTGGGGTAGAGAGCTTCTGTTTGAGGAGGATTTCCTTCCTGGCATAGTAGAATGTGTAGAATAACAGTAGTTTTGTATGGTTCAAAATAGAGAGACCTAACAACAGAACTAAAGGATCTGGGGTTAAGGATACCTTCAGTGCTTTAGTCAATCTGGGTGTGACTTGTTTCCAATAATAAAAAAAAACTTAGGGCAGCTCCACACCACGTGATAAAGAGTGCTGTTGGTATTTTGACATTGCAGAGTGGGGAGAGAGAGTAGGATAGATGTGACACTGCCTCTGGGGGTATAATATAACCTATGTAAAAACTTTAAGGGCTAGTTGACACTAGATGCAGTCCAGTGCAGTTTTGTTTCTGCATCAAAAATACATGCACAGTGTTTTCCACGTATTCCAATGGCCCTAGTTCACACCAGTGCAGTCAGTTCCAGGTGCAGAAAAAAAAAGTAGAACATGCTGCATTCTTTCTGCACAGAACCATACTGGAACACCGCAAACTGAATCAAAACTGCACTGGAACTGCATGTGGTGTGAACTGTAAGCAAAAATGTATCCAGAAAGCATCCGAAGTGCATTTTTGTGGCGTGAAATGGCTCTAAGTGATGATTAGCTGTCACTTTGCTTTGCAACATAGTCAGAGCGCTGATGGGAACTACACTTCATCATGTTCGCTTATAGTTCTTTTTATATCTTACACTTCTACTTTAACCACTTGACCCCGGGCCAATTCTGACACTTCTCACATACATATAAAAATCTGCATTTTTTTTTTTTTGGCTAGAAAATTACTTAGACCCCCCAAACAGTATATAGTTTTTGAAAACACAGACCCTGGAGATTAAAATGGTGGTATTTATGTCAAACGATATTTGCACAGCAATTTTTAATATGCAAATTTTTAGGAAGAAAAAATACACTTTAATGAATTTTAGAGCACACAAGCACAACAGAATACCCTTTTTTAAATGTAAAATACAATGTTACATAGTTGCATAGTTAGTGTGGCTGAAAAAAGACAAAAGTCCATCCAGTTCAACCATTAAAAAAAAATAAAAGTTATAATCCTACACCCACACTAGTAAATACCAAATATTCAACACTATAAAATAGTGGATTGGTGACAAACTACAATAACTAAAAATCTCCGTAGACGACACTTTACGTTTAGAGTTACACAGGAGGTCTGGTGCTAGAATTAATGCTCTCACTCTGACCTTCGCCATGATACCTCATATGCATGCGGGACTTATGTATGCATTTGTGTGGGGGGAAGGACACTTTAAAGTGGTTGTAAAACTTTACCTAAAGCCAGTGAAGTGCCTGGCCTCAGGTGATACAGAAAGATGAAAAAATCCTCCTACGTAGGTTGTAGTTGTTTATCTACAGCCATCTCTTCTTTACATCCGTCCAAGTGCCAAATTTATATCGCTTGCCTGAACACCCAGAAAGCAGGGGGTGGGGGAGCTGAAGTTACACTCTGAAGAGGTCTGTGAGTTCTGATTGGAAGGAAGGCCCCCCCCTCCTCACAGAGCTGAGGCTGTCAATCTGCTGAAGGTCCCTCCCCATCACTCTTTTCTCTTGGTGTCAGAAAAACTTGTCAGAAGTGATTCATGCTGATAGCAGAGGAACGAGGCAACAGAGAGGAATGACACTTAGGAGTAGATTTACTAAAACTAGTGCACTCAGAATGTGGTGCAGCGGTGCATGATAGCCAATCAGCTTCTAAATTCAGCTTGTTAAGCTAAGTTTTGCGATAAAACCTGGAAGCTGATTGGTTTCTATGCAGAGTTGCATCAGATTTTGCAGTCTCCAGTTTTGGTAAATAACCCCCCCCCCCCAGTGCTCTGAACTCAGACAAGTACACACTATAGAGGAATATGTTTTGTTCATAATTCAATTTTGTTCATAATTCAATTTTTTTTTTTTTTTTTTTGTAACAGGTTCCCGCCCGGCCTACAGCCAGATGGCGGCCTGCAAAACCCCTTGTCCCTCCCGTGGACGCCATACGGCATCCTTTCGGCATGCACAGTTTGCATGCCCGCAGAGGCGCGCAGTGGCGCGATCTGTCACCGGACGTGTACCTCGGACAGGGCCGATGACGGATCTGAGTACCGGCCCCATTGCCGCTACCATGTGACCTACTGTGACCAATCACAGCAGGTCACATGACAGTTGTATACAATGGATGGCTTCATTCATGCCATCCATTGTATACTAGTGTGTCTAGCTGTGAATGGTCACAGCGATCACATGCACAAGCTGGGCCAATCACAGCCTAGCTGTGTCATATGATTAGCCTTGGCCAAATCACAGCTAAGCACAAAAAAAAAAAAAAACCCTGAATGAATCGGTCATTCAGGTAAATGCTTGCTTATAGCAAAGTAATTCTTTGCTATAAGCAAATTTGTGTAAAAAAAAAAAAAAAAAATACTGATCACTTCCCCAAAGTAGTACAATGTTACTATGGTAACATTGTACTACTTTGGTCATAGTGAAATATGAAAACAAATCTTAAAAAAAAGAAAAATGTATTAAAAAATTAAAATAATTATAATTTTTTTTTTTTTCATACTGTCACCAGTCAGTTTCCATGATCACCGCCATGCCAGTTATATGATGACGCTGTACTGCACTGGTGACAGTATATAAAAAAAAAAATTGTGAAAATATTTTTTTTTTTTTTTCATTTTTCGAAAAATTATGAAAAAAAAATACACCTTCAAAAAACTCGCCATGCCTCTTATGAAGTACGTTGGACTGTCTACTCTGCAAAAAGGGGTCATTTGGGGGATATCTGTACTGTTCTGACATTCTTGGCCCTCAAGAAATTAGATCGGCTGTCAGTACTTCAGGATTGATCAATATTCAGATCTATACCATAGTTTATGAACTCTATAACATTCCTACAAACTAAAAAATACATCCTAATTTGGGTTATTTTCACCAAAGACATGTAGTAGAAACATATCTTGGCCTAAATTTATGAAGAACAATTATTTATTTGCAAACTTTTATAACCAAAACAAAGAAAAAGGTGTGGGGTTTTTTTTCAAAATTTTCGGTCTTTTTTTGTTAATTTAGGAAAAAATAAAAACCCCAGTGGTGATTAAATACCACCAAAAGAAAGCTCAAGTTGTGTGAAGAAAATTATAAAATTTTAGTTTGGGTACAGTGTTGTATGACCGCGCAATTGTCATTCAAAGTGTGAGAGCGCCAAAACCTGAAAAATGGCCTTCACAGGAAAGGGGGTAAAAGTGCCCTCTTTGGAAGTGGTTAAACAACATCCCTTGTGACGGCTTGTAAACAGCAAACCGAAAAATGGATCTGACGAAATCCTCATTGCTTCTGGATTCTTATATCACAAAGGGGGGTGGCATGGAACATTTCTACAGGAAAGCCCATCGCCGACTGAAAAGTTTGGTACTAGGATCATGGATGCAGCTGCATCTGTGATCCCAGTCAGCCAATTCAAGCCAAGAACGTATGTGTACATCCTAAGGGGTTGAAGTGGTTGATGTTATTTCAAGCAATAGTTCTGTAATACAGTCATGCTTTTTGTTTTGTTTTTTTACACACACAGAAGACAGCTTTGAAAAATGAATACTATTTGTATAAAGATCAGCGGTATTAATTAGATGTACAGTTCTTTATTTTTTGCAGATTGTCAATTTTCTGGGATTTGGAAAACAGCTTTGTACCAAGGTTCTCCCTAATGTACACATGCTCTGCTTTTTTATTTTCACAGTCCAAAGCAGCCTATGTACTCTTCTATCAGCGGCAAGACACCATCAGCGGGACAGGCTTCTTTCCTCTGGACAGAGAAGTAAAGCAAAGTGCTTCAGCTGCTGCTGGGATTCCAGTAGAGAGCGACGAGGAGTCAAATGAAAATGAAAATGACATAGAGAATGAAAACTGTATGCATACCAATTAAAAATAGGCCTGTGATCACATACATAGGAATAGAAATCACCAATAATAATCCTGAGATATCTGCCAAAAATATCATTTTTTTTTCTTTTCTAATAAAAAAGGGGAATTTCAGCTGGCAGAATGTAAACTGTTTGTCTATCTGTTCTATTTATTGTATAGTGTTCCTTAAAAGGGCAATGCAGTGAAAACCGTGACTGATGAGTCTATTCAATTTAGACTTTTATTTGCAAGCTAAGTTTTTTTTTTTTTTCTGCTCGTTTTTGGTTCTTTATGCTGTTAACTTAAATCCTCAGCAGTTCAGGTGTCTATATCTTACTGGTATTGAAAGATGAAAAGTCAGGATATAGGACTCTAAAAAAAAAAAAAAAAAAAAAAAAAAAAACCTGCTGAGCCTCTGAGGATAAAACCGTAATAGATACTGTGTGATCAGTTGCTCAGTTTTTTCCAAACTAATGATCAGCAACTTATGACAGAAAATATGCTTGAACCACTCCATAATCAATGCAAACCACTTAACATCTGAATCATTTAACTGAGGGAAATAACAAAGGTGTTTTAGCCTTTTAATATACAGTTTTCAATTTTTGAAATCTCTCTTGGTTTACTTGATGCTGTGTAATGGAAATTGATTTTTCATAATGTTGTGTCAAAAATAAGTTTTGATTGAATGTATATTTACCTTGTCACTTGTAGGATTCCTGTTCTGTTTGCTGAAAACTGGTGCATTCTTATGATCCTCTCTAAGTCAAGCGTTTGACTTTGTATTGTAAAAGTTATCCCCTTCAAAATATTTTAGCTGGGAGCTTTGAGCACCCTAGTTACACTGTACATGTAATAAAGACAACATTCTATAATGGCACCCAGTGCCTGTGACAATGACTGTGGACTAATCTTAACTATAGGATGTTATTTTTATTTCCATTTGCATTTTTAAAATGTTTGACTTTATTCAAGGTAGGTCTGTGAAATTTCGTGTGCTCCCTTTAAAAGTCACCATGGCCTTATAACTCATCTCAAAGGGGTAAATTGTTCTAAAACTAGGAAAAGTGACATTTGCATGTTCAGTTATCAGAACCTGTACTGTGTATATTGCATACAAGCCTTGGATTTCATGTTGGCTAACTGCATTCAAGGGTCCAGGATGCCAAAAAAGAGAAAGAAAAATAACAAAAAAAAAATCAAACATTGAACATTTTGTAAAATGGATTATTTGCTGCTTTACCTGTGATCTTGTTGAAGAATGTATTGTTGATTTGTATACTGCCTATGACAGGAACTCTGTACATTTTGGGACGCGCTTTACATATCTACTACCTGAGGAATTTCTTTACTGTCCCAGCAGAGGAAAAAGAAAAAGAATAAAAAAATAGTATAGCGTTCTTCATTTGAACCAATGTAATAAAAATACAATAGGTTTTAAATTGTGTATTGTAAATAAAAGTTCACTCTGTGAGTGCACATTTTGGTAAATTATTTTATTTATACATTAGCATTACAATATAAATGCATATCACCAGGAGAAATGAGGGTATGGCTTTGCTTTCTGTCTTGGTATTAAGGCTGATGTGATGTATCCTGGTATTTTAAAGCTGCTTTTTTTTTTTGTTCATTTTGTTTTTGTTTTGTTTTTTTTTGTTTTGTTTTTTTCTTTTCTTTCTTTTCTTTTTTTTTTATTGTCAAATGTTTACCTTCTGCATGACGGAGGTAACAGGTTTGTCTGCACTTTAAGTTCACTTGAGTTTACATTTAAAATGTGCATGATTAATTTATTTATAAAAATTTAAATAAAGTTGTTGAAGGCCTTATGTAGTGTGTGGTCTGTCTTTTGCTAATAAAGACTAAAACTGGCTGTATGTAGCTGCTCTGTTCAATACATTGTCGATTTGATCTATAAATTTGGATTGAGTACTTAAAGCAGAACTCCAGCATTTCGACTCCCATCCCCACGAAGCCCCTCTGAGTTTTTGTCTGCAATCATAGCTGCCAGTTTGGTGAAATCATGTAGTTTACTCCTCTGCTCAAGGCAGCGGATGGACATCCTTCCAGGGCTGAGCACATCTCAGTCAAGGAGTATTGTGAGTGAGGCCTGTGTGATGTGTGCCATGGGGAATGTGTATAAAACAAGCTGAGTTCACAGGAAATGGGAAAAAAAAGGACCCGACACTGGCCCGAAGAGGACCGTTCTGTAGTTTATCTAGAGGGTAAGTATTGATCGGCAATATCAATTTTTAATACAGGATTCTTGGAATTCTACTTTAAATTGATATTAAAAGTTAATTTTTTTTTAAAAAAAAAAAAGCTTGTGGTTGCGTGTTTTGCACAAGATTAAAAGAAATCATATTAGGCCTTAAAATTACACAAAACCCCCGAACATTATATATTTTCTGAAATCAGAGACCCTAGAGAATAAAATAGTGGTAGTTCCAATTTTTTATGTTGCATGATATTATCGCAAAATTTCAGTAAAACAGTTAATATTAGGGCACAATTAGGGCAATAAAAAGCAATAAATACCCTATTTTTTTGTAAAATATAAAGATGAGGTTGCAGCGAGTAAATAGATATCCAACTTGTCAAACCTTAAATTTGTGCGCAAATGGCGATGAACTTCAGTACCCTATATTTTCAATAGGTGATGCTTGGGTGTAACTTTAATTTTTTAGAATTAAAAAAAAAAGCAAAAACTTTTTTTTACTTAATTTTTTTTTTCATCACATAGGGGACAAATGTCCCCTATGTGATGATAATGCACATCGCACTGCATTACATTTTTACCGGCCTCAATTGCCGGGAATCTCTCAACGGGGAACCGGAAGTGACATCATAACGTCAGGACAATAAGGGGAGGGAAGCAGATGTGTCTGCTCTCCTTCCTCCCCCCAAGCCGCTGGCGGTGAGCTGGTCCCGGGACCACAGATGGGCAAACGGAGCCCGGCAGACAGTGGGTGGGGGGAGCTTCACAAGGGGAGGGCGGAGAGGCTTGCACTGTGTGGAAGCATTTGGGCGGCAGCTCTGCTGCCTGAATGCTTCCACCTGACAGGTGAATATAGTCTTGGTCCGCAGTGAGCTTCCAAAGCATCAGAGGGATCTCATTGTTAAACAGTATCAGTCAAGAGAATGGCACAAAAGAATTTCCAAGGCATTAGCTATACCATGGAACACAGTGAAGACAGTCATCAAGTGGAGAAAATATGGCGCAACAGCGACATTACCAAGAACTGGATGTCCCTCCAAAATTGATGAAAAGACGAGAAGAAAACTGGTCTGGGAGGTTGCCAAGAGTCCAACAGCAACATTAAAAGAGCTGCAGGAATATCTGGCAAATACTGGCTGTATGGTACATGTGACAACAATATCCCGTATTTTTCATATGTCTGGGCTATGGGGTAGAGTGGCAAGACGGAAGCCTTTTCTTATGAAATTTTGCAAAAACACATCTGAAGTCTCCCAAAAGCCTGTGCAAAAATGTGTTATGGTCTGATGAAACTATGGTTGAACTTTTTGGCCGTAATTACAAAAGATCTGTTTGGGGCAAAAACAACACTGCATGTCACCAAAAGAACACCATACCCAAAGTGAAGCTTGGTGGTGGTGGTGGCAGCATCACGCTTTGGGGCTTTTTTTTCTTCAGCTGGAACTGGGGCCTTATTCAAGGTAGAGGGAATTATGAACAATTCCAAATACCAGTCAATATTGGCACAAAACCTTCAGACTTCTGCTAGAAAACTGAACATGAAGAGGAACTTCATTATTCAGCATGACAACGACCCAAAGCATACATTCAAATCAACAAAGGAATGACTTCACCAGAAGAAGATGAGAGTTTTGGAATGGCCCAGTCAGACCCCAGACCTAAATCCGATTGAAAATCTGTGGGGTGATCTGCAGAGGGCTGTGCACAGAAGATGCCCTTGCAATCTGACAGATTTGAAGTGTTTTTGCAAAGAAGATTGCCAAGTCAAGATGTGCCATGCTGATAGACTCATACCCAAAAATACTGAATGCTGGAATAAAATCAAAAGGTGCTTCAACAAAGTATTAGTTTAAGGGTGTGCACACCTATGCATCCATATTATTTTAGTTTTTTATTTTTACTTCCCTCTACCTAAAAGATATCAGTTTGCTTGTTCAACTGAGTTGTACAGTTTATAGGTTACATTAAAGGTGGAAAAAGTTCTGAAATTATTTCTTTGTCTCATTTTTTTACATCACAGAAACCTGACATTTTATCAGGGATGTATAGACTTTTTACAGTTGTGCTCAAAAGTTTGCATACCCTGGCAGAAATTGTGAAATTTGGCATTGATATTGAAAATATGACTGATCATGCCACAAAAATGCTCTTTTATTGAAGGATGATGATCATATGAAGCCACTTATCAAATAGTTGTTTGGCTCCTTTTTAAATCATAATGATAACAGAAATCACCCAAATGGACATGATCAAAAGTTTACATACCCTTGAATGTTTGCCCTTAGTACAGACACACAAGATGACACACGGGTTAAAATGCCAACGGCAACCCAAGAAAAGAAGTGGAATATTCTGCAATGGCTGAGTCAATCACCTGATCTCAACCCAATTGAGCATGCATATCACTTGCTGAAGGCAAAACTAAAGGCAGAAAGACCCATGAGCCGCTTCTCCTCCTCCTCTAGCCTGCGGCTTCCAGCTGCTTCATTGAAAGACATACAGGAGATCGCTTGTCACTGCCCCCACCGCCGCCCCTCCCACACACCTCTAGTCCTAACGCTGCTCGCCCCCACCTTATTTCCTCTCACCCAATGTGAGCGGGCGAGTGTAAATTTTGTGGGCTGACATATATATATATATATATATATATATATATATACACACACATATATACACACACATATATACACACACACACAGTTAGGTCCATATATATTTGGACACAGGCACAATTTTCATATTTTGGCTCTGTATGCCACCAAAATAAATTAAAACGAAATGGTCCAAATGAATTTGAAGTGCACACT